CCCTGGCCCTGCCCCTGCCCCTGCCCCTGTCCCTGTGCCTGTCCCTGCCCCTGCTGCCCCTGCTGCCCCTGCTGCTGCTGCTGCTGCTGCTGCTGCTGCTGCTGCCCCTGCTGCCCCTGCTGCTGCTGCTGCTGCTGCTGCTGCTGCTGCTGCTGCTGCTGCTGCTGCTGCTGCTGCTGCTCGTGCAGCTCGCCACCCTCCTCATCCTCGGCCCCATCCTCGCCGCCGCCGGCGGCCCTGCCACTGCCGTCCCCGTCGCCGCCCTCTCCGCGGCCCCTGGCCCCGCCGCCGCTGCCGGCGCCTGTGTCGCAGTCCGCCGGAGCATCGGACGGCCGCGTGGTGGGGCCGCCACGGTTGCCTTGATCATCGGCGTTGTTGTGGTCATCAGAGTCAAGCCGCATTATGGCCAAATCTGGGCTGTCGCCCGGCTTCGCCGCAGCCGCGCCTTCCCAGCGCTGGCCGCCGCCGCCGTCGTCATCAACGCCATAGCTGCGGCCGCCGCCGTCGCCGCCGCCGCCGCCGCTGCCGTTGCCGCTGCCGCCGCCAGCGCGCGCGCATCCCCTGCCGCCGTCGGGTTCGGGGCGTGCAAGGTGCTGGAGCGAGACCCGGAAGTCCCTGGCACCGTGGCGCGCAGCAGCGCTAGCGCCGGTGCCGCTGTGCCCTCGGGACTGCGCGCCGCCCGCCGGGTCCGCCGAGGCTTTCGCGGAGTCAGCTGCGCCGGCGTTGCGGCGCTTGCTGGGACCAGCCCTCCCCTGCTGCCCCTGCCTCGGACCTTCGTCTCGATCGCGCTTTGCGCTCTGGCCTTTTTCTGTTTTGCAGATTTTTTGTCGGGCGGCGGCATCGCATCTTGCTCTGTCTGCAGGGTGGAGCATTGAGCGAAACCAACTCAGCTCAGGGGGATGCTTAGGGGGTGGGTACACGCAGGTAGGGCGTGCCCCCAGCAGCAGGCGACACACCTGCCGGCCGGTCTTAAGCACAGATCCAGGCAAGGGCCTCTCCCCCGGCAACACGCGTTCCAGGCACGCAGCAAGCGCAGCACGCCCGCTGCGGGCCTCGGCGACTCTACGGGCGCGAGCGCACCCGCGCCTCAGCGTTGTGGATGATCTTCCTAGCCACCTCGTCCAAAGACGCAGGCGAGACTTCCCACGTGCTGCGGCGCTCATTGTAGGTCCGCAGGAAAACCCGCACCTCCCCCCCGTCCTTGCCGTCCACCCAGCAGCGGTAGCCCGCGCCGCTGGCGGCAGGGTCTCTGGGGAAGAACCTCGAGGACAGCATCTCCTCAGTGGCGATCTGCACGTTTGACCGGAAGGCGGCGGCGCCTGCGCGGTCCCCGCGGAACGTGCGGCAGGGGCGTTTCCACAGGGAACGCACCTGGGCACGCAGGGCGCGCTCCGTCTTATCCTTTTCGCTTTTGGTCTGCGGATGAATTAGCATGTTTCAAATGATGCGATTATTCATGGGGGAATATACAGGTTGCGCTTTTGCTGGAGCCAGCCAGCGCCACGAACAATTGCTTGCATGCGCGTGCGCATGCCATGCACCGCGCGAAGCGCGGCCAGGCGTGCCGCACGCACGCTAGCCGCCCCACGGCTCCTGCCAGACCCAGCCAACCACAGACCGCTGCAGGGGGTGAGGCCGCGGGGGACGCTGCTGGCAGCGCGCACGAATGCGCGGACCACGGGCCGGCTGCGTGGCGAGAGGCCCTTGTGTGCGCGCAAACCTCACCAGGGGCCGAATCTCCGCCTCGAGGTCCTCGTCGCGGCGCCACTGCAGCTCCTCGTCCGCCGGCCGCGGCCCGTCCGCGTACTGCACGAACGCCAGCCCCAGGGCACCGTCGAGCGTCCGGCTGCTCGCGCTGACGCCGCCGCTGGACGCGGCGGCGCGGGGGCCGGCGTCCGGCGAGGCGGGGGCCGGCGGCCGCGGTGGCCTTTGGGGGGGCGCGGCGCCGCCGCGCGGCGCTGCTGGGTTGAGGCTCGCGCCTGCAGCGGGCAGACCGGAGGCGGCCAGTGCCGGCCCCGTTGTGGACTCGGGGTTTGCCTGGAGTGGGGGGTTTTGTAGGGTGTGCCGGAACAAAGGAATGATGCATCAGGTGGTGGACGCCATATTGGATGGGGCATCAGCGCACGCTCAGGACGGCCCCCGGCACGAGGGACGTCTTGCCGCCACGCTGCATGCCAGCCAGAGCGGCGAGCATCGGGCCGTTGCCGTTGATCTGCCGCGCACCGGTCTTGTGAAGGATGAGCGTTGGAGTCCATGACCTCGCATGCCTAATGGGCTCGCCATGCCAGCAGTTCTGCTCCTATGCAATCGCCGTCTGCGCAGTGACGGAGGTGGTTCAGGTTGGTGGTGTCGGGGGGCGCTCACAATGGCGTTCACAACGCCATCCCAGGCTTGTGGGGCGGGCGAACATCCTGTCATCAAATCTTCAGGCATTCTAGACAACATCGACTTATCATCAGCATGGAACCTCGCAACAAACGCCTGTCGCGCGCACGTCCGTCGCGTGGAAGCTCCAGGGCAGACCAGGACAACAGCGCTGATTCAATAAGCTCTTAATCACCTTCATATGCACTCACCTTCCTGCCACGCCGGCCCGGTTGTCTCGACGTGCTTTTCGAGTGGTGGCGAGCTGGCGACGGAGGTGCTCCGAAACGATTGATAGCGTGCCTGACAGCACGTCTTCAGTGGAGTGCCTCGCGGGAATTTTCTACAGTTGCTTATCATGGAACTGCAGTGCCGTATCACACGGTGTGTGGGCGATCAATACGGTATACACACTGATGTCACTGTGCCAGGAATCCAGGAGCCATGCCTATGAATAATCACTGATCATCAGTGACTTGACGTAATAAGACCGGCACAGCCAAGGTACGGTTCATGGGTGGGGACAGGGCTGCATTTGTGGTCTGGATCCTTGTGCAACGTTACTGTAAGTTCAAAGCCAGGACCGTGCCAGCGTGGCGTGAGAGACGCGCTGGGCAGCTGGTGTGGATCCTGTGGTACTCTCGAATGGCGCACAGCAGGAGACTGGGCCGCTCAAAGGGTGTGCAGACGTCCTCATCTCGGCCCCGCCCCTGAATTGTGATGGCTGATGAGGAAGAAGAGGAGACAAGTTGGTTGTGCGTTGCGTGTGCAATACGACACTTTGACTTTGCCGGGCAGAATATACAGGCTCAAGATGCAAGACATGTTTGTTGGAGGTTTGTCGTTTTGATGTCCTGGTGTCAACGATTGTTGGTTGCAGAGCTGTTCACGCCCCTCAACCTCTTGGCAATACCCGACTTCTGTCGGTTCTATGAATCCTGTACTGCATCCCAAAGCAAGAGCAGCCAGCGCGCGAGGCGGCCGCCTTCAGCAGTAGATGAGCGCTGTTTAACCCATGCCAAGTCACCACAGCCACACAACTTTCATAACTTCACCAATGCGCACGCACTCAGCCACCAGTTTGCAATTGAGCCGCAACCTGCTGGTGCACTCTGACGATCTAGGCCGCAAGCGACCATACCCTCAAACGCATACAGCAGCCTCAAGCGCCGCCTTGCGGCAGTGACTCCCAAGACGTTTATGCCACACACTGCAGGAACTTGTGCATTGGCCCAGACCAGGGATGGCGCACTCTGGCGACAATGTCAACCTCATACACCGCAGCCCCGCAAACACACCAGCACCGCGAGAGCTCAGTACAGGCAGGCACGCAACACACTCAAAATCAAGAGGACGCCCAAACCACCAACAGGCGCAAGCGGGCTGGTGCAATCACGCACTGATGCAGGGCACGCCGTCACACCGGCGGGTGTGGGCTTGCGCATCCAGAAGTCAACCAACCAAAAGGGCCTGAAAGCGCACCAAAGGGATAGGTCATGTCACACGACCTACGGTAGGTGCGCCTCCCCAACAAGCCGATTCGGCAACAAGGCAATCATAATCTTCGCTTGCCAGTGCCATGCGGCTGCAGCCCACGGGCCGGGGAGCACGCCACATCGTCTACATTACATTGCATCACATCACACTTTTCCAGCAGCAAGGGAGGAACCCTGGCTCCCCAAAGGGGTAACGCCCCTAACCGTGAAGGCCAGAGGAGAAAGCGGGTGCGGCCAAGTCGGGAATCAGTAAGAGGGCGCACGCCTCCTTGGCAGGAGGGATAAGCAAGCCTTCTTCCAAGCGGGGCGGTTAGAGCAGCGGTCGTCTAGGTGAGCGGGACATCGATCCCTATGGCAGCACAGTCTCGCCTCGCTGCGTCAAACCATGACACGCGCGGCCGCCCCACAGCGCACGGGCCAGGGGCGGCGCTCCAAAGCGCCAGTTTGGGTTCATCGTCTGCCAAGGGCTTTATTGCGCGCGGTTGTTGTTACATGTGCGCCGGTGGTTGCCTTTGAGCACGCGCGCGCACACACACACACACACACACACACACACTCACACACGCCCTTGCCTCTCTGCTGCCACACGGGCAGATTGAAGGTTGCAATATGACTGGGAACTTGCAGGAGAGAAATTATACACGGGCGCACAGGCGCACTACATGCCACACTATGCCGTGGGGCGCCTTAGCCAGGCACGCCCTGTTGCAGGCAGGGGCACTTGCATGCGTTTGTGCTCAAATGTCCGCGCCCAATAGCGAATCTGACGTACGTTGACGCGAAACCGAACTAACCAAGGAACATCACAGCTAGGTTGACAAAGGGGCGATATGCGGTGGAGCATGCCAGCATCCTGCGCGTTGCAGCGCCGGGATGGGGACGACGCGCCCGTGTCGCGCACACTGGCGCTTTCGTTTGTCGCCGCTGCGCAGCGGCGCCTGCAATTGGAGGCATCAACTGCGGACAAAGTGTGCCCGAAAGCGGCCCCGGCGGCGGCGGCTGCGAGATGAATCAGCAGCGTGCAGGCTCACACCAGAAGACACCTCCTCTTCACTGCTGCTCTAAGAGGTACCTAGACACACACACACACACACACAGGTCCGCTCACATGGAGATTTATGTTTGGTGGGGGATCAATGGCGTGAGCCAATTGCATAGCGGTGAAGTGAAGGGGGCGGCAGGGCGGCAAGACAAGCTGCCAATGTGGCGCGCCACCCACACCAGGACACTGCACCCTGCTGATGAGATTCAGGCCTCGCTGCAGCCAGGGCCAGGGGGCTGGCAGGCCGACGAGCGCATGCGCATGTGCCGTTGTCTATCAAGGGACACGTGTGTGTGGGTGCTGGAGCGCATGACGGCGCCCATGCATTTTGGTGCGGATGGCAACGTGCAGCTGCCTGCGCGTGTTCGACAAGGCAATACACGAATGCTTTGGGGCGCTGCGCTATGAACGGCGTCGCAGCCGCTGAGCGTAGCGCACCACGCGCCCATTGACAAAGCCCTAAACCTATTCCTGGTGGGGGCTAGGAAACTGTTTTGATGACTCTTGATCTCATGGGGGCAAATCTTGTGCTTGGTGTAATTCATATCACCCATGCTGGCCGTCAGGCTCAGCATCCGCCTGCCCAGTGCCAGCCAGAGGCAGCCGCACCGCCCGAATCAAGCCGCGCGCGCCGTCACGCGCCTCGCGCATGGCGCGTACAAGCGCGAGGCGCCGGCGGCGCCGCACGGCGGCGGCCTTTTGCATGTACTCTGCTGCCATCTCCCCGCACTCCAGCAGCGCGACCCGGCGCTGCCACAGCTCGATCTGGCAAAACGCGTCCTCCGCCTCTGCGGTCGCCGCGGCTCCGGCGCCGCCGCCGCGCGCTGGTTGCGCTTCGGACGCGCGCAGCCGCGCGATTGCGGCGCGCGCCGCGGCGGTGCTGCTGCTCTCTCGCTCGACAGGCTCCACGGGGGACGCCAGGCAGGCCGCCCTCAAAGCGACCGGGCCATCGGATGCCACGGCGCCGCGAGGCGGCGGCGATGCTGTCGCTGCGGCCGTCTTTGGGGGCGCCTCCGTCCCTGGAGCCGTCGCCGTCGCTGCCGCGGTTGTCGCGGCAATGGGCGGGGCCTCTGCAAAATCTAGGCCGTACTTCTGCATGCAGGCCAGCGGCTGCCCAATGGGTGTGTGCATGACGCCCTCGATGACAAGCTCCTGCTGAACGCTGTACACGACGCGATCCGCGGCGGCCGCGATCAACTCCCAGCCGACGTCTAGAGCGGCCGCGCGCGGCGGCGCGGCAGGCGGCGCGGCGCGGTCGGCGGCAGAGGCCCTGCGTGCGCCACTGAGCAGCCAGGCGTGAGGCGCGACCGGGGTTTGGGCGGCTGCGGGGCTGCGGCGTGACCGCAAGGTTGGGTGCATCCATGCATGGTAAGGGTGTATCTGCAGGTGTTAAGAGGGGAGAGTGGGGCGGGCCGTGGTGATGAGGGGGAAAGGCTTGGACTGGCTGTGGAGGGTGAGGCGCCGGCGCGACAAAGGGTGAGGACTGGGCAGGCTTCGGCCCGTGTCGCGCATGCTGCAGGCCGCAGTGTATGTCAGGTGATCAAGACCAGCGATCATAGAGCATCGTTTAAGAGGCAATTATTGGAGTTCGAGGCCATGCAAGGCAGTGTTGCAGCCCAGGACTCACCCGAAGCATGATCGCTTCCAGATGTCCGTTGATAGGCTATTTGGGGATAAAAGAGTTTCTGATCGCTCGATGCGCAAGGGAGAGGGGTTCTGCCGCGAGGCGCTGCTGTGCTTGAACAATCCGGTACTGTATGCGCCCCGGCTAGGGTGATGAAGGCCGCACGCTGATACGCGTAAGGTCTATGATAATCCACGTTAAATTACGGCGTTTGATGTATGCAAATCAGGGCCGTGTTGATATGGTGGACAACACCGGCGGCAGCTCCCGAAGGCTGGGCCGTTTTTGCGCGCACAGGCTGGCGCGCCTTCCGGTTGCGCGCGCGCACTGGTTGCCGTGCCCAAGGTTGATCCTTCCACTCCAAACCGCTTCGAACGTGCATAAATGCGCGGCACTTCTGCTGCAGATCCTCTCGATGGCCTCACCCGCCCCACTGCACACTTTTAGTCCCAACAGCCTGGCACAACATGCTGTCCTACCGATTCCCAGGCACCTGCACATGAGCGCGTCCATCATCACACCTTGAGTTTATTGCCTCAACTGCAGTTGGCTCCTCCTGCCGGCTGGCACATCTATGCATGATCCGTGCACCTGATCCAGGCAACCCCTAGTCCACCTCAAGCTCATCCAGCTCTTCCGCCCTCCCAAGGAGGTCATCCATAAGTGACTGCCCACCAGCCCCACCTCGCCGCTGCTGCTGCTGCTGCTGAATCTGCTGCTGCTGCTGTACATGCTGCTGTACGCTGAGCGTATCGCCGCTGCTGGCCTCGGGCCGCTGCGCCTGTGGCGGAGCTGGGCAGGCAGGCACGTCGGGGCTGGCAAGCGGCGGCCGAAGCTGCGGGGCGGTGGTCCTGAAGCGCTTGGCTGGCTGGCCGCCGCCGCCAGGCGCTGACGCCAAGGGGGTGTGATCTACATGCTGCAATCCGTGCTGCTGCCGCTGCTGCCACTGCTGCCGCAGTTGGCCCTGCTCCCCGTGCGAATGCTGCTGTGCTGTCCCAGGGCCGTGGCGCATTTCTGAGCCCTGCGGAGGCCCTGCGGAGCGTGCCACCTGGCTGCCGAATATTGCCGAAACGAAGCCAGCCGCGTCTGCCAGGTCGTGCTCATCCTCCAGATTCAGCATGTCGTCTCCCGCTGGATTGCTGCGGTTGACCCCAGCGCCACCCCCACCCAACAGCTTGGTGGCGCCGCTCGTCCCCAACTGCTGCAGTCCCTGCTGGTGTGACTGCAGGGATCGCCCGAGCGCCTGCGAGCCGAGGCCGCCACCATGCGGCCCAATGGCCGCTCCGCTGGCTGCTGCAAGTGCGCCGAGCGATGCACCGCTGAAGCTGCTGCCAGCGCCACCAGTGCTGATGCAAGGCGCGGGGTTGTCCCTGACCCGACGAAACGAAACACCGCCACTCAGAACCCCTTGTGGCGGCCTCAAGGGTTCTCTTGACGGCTGCTGCTGCTGCTGCTGCGCCTGCTGCTGCTGCTGTTGCTGCAGGTGCAGCTGTGGGTTGAGCTGCGGGGGTTGCAGCTGCGGCGACTGCATGTGCCGTCGCTGCTGCGTCGAGCCCAAAGCAGTCAGCGCTGGCCTGTGCCCCATTGGTGGCGCACCGCTGTTGCCGGCCCCAGAAAAGGCGAGCGGCGCCGCTGCTGGCTGCGCGAGGCCCACTTCAGGCGGCGCACTGCGTCTGAAAAGGGTGTCGACACTGGGTCCAGGGCTGGGCGCGGGCAGCCAGTCCGGCACAGAGGCACCGCTGTCTGCTGGAGCTGCCGGGGTGCGCTGCGGCGGCCATTGCTGCTGCTGGTGCTGCTGCTGGTGCTGCTGCTGGTGCTGCTGCAAGGCAAGCTGCGTACGCTGCTGGTGCGGCCCCAACGCCTGTGTGAAGGTCGCATCAGACGGAAGCAGCAGCGGCGGCGCTACGCCGGGGCCCATTGCGGGGAACACCTGTGTGTGTTTATACAAGCCACAACATTCATATCAGCGAGGGACTCGTCCCTGTTTTGGCCCATTGCACTGCGAGCACCCAGTTTCATGAGCAACTGCCCTACCACAGCTTGCGCAGCTGCGCAAGGGCACCATCTGCCGCAATTTCGAGGCCCATTCGCTGGCTCAGCCCACCAGTGGCCAGCGCACCTGGATCACGTTGTCAGGGACGAGGCACAGGAATGTCAGCCCAGGCACAGGCGTGAACACTGGCACGTCAGCCAGCAGCAGCGCCGCGCCCGGGCTCAGCGCGGGCTCGCGTTCGGTGAGGGTGTGGTGCACCGCTGCGCCGATGGAGCCGCTGGGGTCCTGTGGTTTGTTGGTTTGGGTAATGTGACTGCACGACCAGCTGGTGTTGCCCAGGTGTCACGGTGTCTGCATGTTCGAGCTGAACAATGCTGGTGAGGTCAGCAGCACCAAGAGGTCGGCAAGCACCTGTCACTGGAAGGGGTAGGCCAGCAAGCAGAAGGGCTGCCATGCAGCAGACCAGGGTGGAATCTGTCGCCTGAGCATGGGCCGCCCTCACCTTGACCTTGGCGAATGCGCCGCGGCCGCCCGAAGATTTGAGGTCCACCACCATGACCAGCATCTGCAAGGCCCAGGCGGGTGAGCCAAGTGTGCATAATCAAATGCAGAAATGATGGTTTGTATATGCCACACCCATGGCCGCGCCCATGCATGGCTTGACAAGTGCCGCATGGAATAAGGCTGAGCGCCACAGAACAACAGTTGAGCCTGCAAGCAAGTCACTTGCGACAACGCTGCCTACGTCGGGTCACAGAGCCGCTGCCCAGATGGGCGAAAAGGTACCCCTCTCGACCCCATGGCACGCACCCTGCCAAGCTTGCAGGGTCCCGACCCCCGCGCCGCCTTCACACTGGTCAGGCTCGAGCCTCCTGGCGCAGTCGACATAATCCCTGCGCCCTCGCCGCCGACAAACGCAAGCCCTGCGCGCCAGGTGGCCGACACGAACAGGGCGTCGCGCCGGCTGTCGCCGGCTTGGACATCCTGCAGCGCATGGCGGCGGCCGCGGCGGCGCAGGGCTTGTCACCACGCAGCCTAGCCTGCATTGATTGCATGCTCCGATCTGAGGCAGTCAGCAAGCCCGGCATCACAATGCAACACATTGTGTGACGCTTGTGGCACAACATTGCCGCCTCACGTGGATTGCCAGGCCTCTACTGACATGCGCACCTCGTCCCGGCCGCCACTGCTGAGCCCGAGCGCCTCTGGCGTCGCGCTCTCGAGGCGCCCCGCAGCCTGGAGGGCCTGGAGCTTGCCTGCCGGGCCAGGCAGCATGCGATGGACCTGCGGTGGCCAGGCGCACTGCTTGTTGTAATTCAAAACACCCTCAAGGAATGCGGATGTTGCAGCATAACTAAATGTATCGTACAAGCGTCCTGCTGAGTGAATTGTTTGCAGTGCACAGAGAGCGTCGCACCCGAGGGAAGGGACCGGGCCGAAGTTGCGCCGCAATGGACGAGGGCGGCGGTCCGGGTGCTGCCGCACCGGTTGGCGACCGAGCGGAGCTGCCTGACTGCCCAAAGGCGGGGCCGGCCTGCTGCTGCTGCTGCTGCTGCTGTTGAGGGCTTGGGGACCACGGCACCTGGGTGGCAGGCGCCGCCCGCTGCTGCTGCGCGCCATGTGGCTGCCTAGACGGTGGCGGTCCCATGACATCGAGGCTGCGTGGCTCAGGGACATTCAATCCTGCTGGCACAAAGGGCAGCATTGCAAGGCAAGGCAGCAGGCTAATTGTTGTGCCAAGGCAGTAAATGCTACGGAGCTCCCACCCGTCAGCATATCTACCACGAAAACTACGCACCTGAAGCTTGTAATGTGCCATTGATAGGCTGGCTCCCAAACACCTGGCCGCTGAAGTGCTGGTTGCCGCCGTTGTTGTCACGCGGAGCAAGCGGCGCGCGACGTGCTGCGCGCGCTGCGTCGTGACAGGTGCCTGTTGGGCCAGCGCCCCCTTCAGAAGCTCCGCACAGAAACCCTTTGAAGGAATCCGCTCCTCCTGCTGAACCGGGCCCTGCAGGCCAAGCTGCCAGGGACGCGTCGATTTGAAGCTCATCCAGCACATCGTCAAAGGGATCGTCCATCCTGTGCAAACCAAACGCAATTGCAGAGATACCGCATACGGAACTCGATTTTTGATGTCATTACTGTACCGCGAACCGCAACAACGCAGCTGCTTGAGCCACTCAGATCAGTTCATCAGTGACAGGTCCCTGCCCCCACTTTAAGACGCACGTTCTGCGATCCACAGCAGACACAGCTCACACATGGCATTGGCATCAGCTTCACATGTCCTTGTCCTGCAAACTTGCGTTAGTAGCTCATGTCAGTGGCGATCGGCGCGGGTCCAGCGGCACCCTGTTCGAACCTGTGCTGTCAACGCATCGCCCTCTCCTGTGCGCAGCATCCTTCGTGCTGTTGTGCCTGCATCCGGCCATGCCAAGGTGAATGATGCTTGACAAAAGGCTACTTGTCTTCCTTTGCTGCAGTTGCCATACGTGTGATGCTGCAGAGTCCAATCCCGTGAGCCTGCATGGCTCCAGAAGCGGGCGACCACAGGACGCTGGAATTCTCTCATCCCCCCTGATGTCTGTCAAAGTGCCCCTTTGTCCCATGCGGTCGATCCCTTTTTCACCCACACACACACACTCTTACACTAGAACACCCTGTAAACTGGAACAGGAGGGCCATCCAGAATGCCCCGAGCGCATTCATGCCATCCAGCAGGCGCTCAGCGCAGCAGGGCTCGATCAGGACGCCTCAATGCGGCTCCTGACTGCACAGGAGCTGGCGGCATGGCAGGGGGAGGCGCTGCTGGACGCACTGCAGCTGGTGCACCCGCGCGCCTACCTTGAACGGCTTGACAGCATATGCAGGGGCCTGCAAGTGAGTGCAATGCCAATGCTGCCTGCCACGTCTGCTTGTGTATTAGCACCGGTCTGCCTGTCTTATCGGCTTTCCAGCTGATGAACATTCACATTAGTTGCTCTGGCCCCCTCCTTGCAGTCACCTGCCATGGTGGATGAGGTGAGGAGACGAGCAGGCTCACCAAAGACTCGATTATACGACGCAGCCCATTCGTTGCAGTCAAGCTGTGGCAAATTGTCCAGGTAACATGTGTCGAGCAATGCAATCAACACGTGCCGCAGCAGCACTGCAACTACTGCTTATGCCCCTCCTTCCCTCAGTCAACGTACATCGCGCCAGGCTCATATTCAGCAAGCCTGTGCACTGCCAGCGCCGCGCTGGCATGCCTGGACGCGGTCCTCGAGCCCTGCAGCCCAGCCAGCAGCAGGAGCACAAGTAGCAATGACAGCAGCACAAGCAGCACAGGCAGAGGTGGCAGCAGCAGCGGCGGCGCCACCGGGGGCCGTGGCGGCACGGACACCAGAAGCACAACAGCGTTCTGCCTGGGCCGGCCTCCAGGCCACCATGTGCTTGCCAGCCGGCCTATGGGATTCGGGGTGCGCCATCTGTGGGGTGATTTGGAGCATGCGCGGCAAGGAATTACACGAAACAAGTTGCAGCATTATGCCGTCGATTTGCTTCTTCGACGCCGCTGGTAACCCTCAAGTGGGTGCGCACTTTGCAAACGCTGCGGATCACCTGCGCTGGCCCTCCCCCAGCTGATCAACTGCGTGTCTGTGGTAGTGGCGGACGCGCTGCGGCGGCCCGGCGTCTCAAGGGTGATGGTGGTTGACTGGGACGTGCACCATGGCAACGGCACAGAGGATATATTTTATGGCAGCGCGGACGTCTTGTATGTGTCCACACACCAGCAGGGGATTTTCCCATTTACAGGTGGGCCGGCCCAGCAGTTGCCCTTTGAAGCCTCAGAGCCCTATTTGGTATTGTCACCGGTGATATGCATGTCAAGCAGCCTGCTAAGCCGCACATATGGTATTTGAACATTCTTCGCTTGGATGCACTGGACTGAGATGTCGTTCTGCTCGCTCAACCACAGGCAAGGCTTCAAACGTCGGGACCGGGGAGGGCGCGGGCACCACCATAAATTTGCCGCTTCCCGGCGGCGCCGGTGATTCAGCCATGCTGATGGCTTGGGAGCATGTCGTGCTGCCTGCGGCCAGGCGATTTCAGCCAGACCTTTTGGTGGTCAGCGCAGGCGAGCATTGCTGCCACTAAGGCTGCCCCTGTAGCTGCTGCTGCTCATCATCCTGCTGCTGCTGCTGCTGGTGGTGGTAAGTGTGTTTGCTGAGTAAGCAAGCTGGCAAGCAGGCAGGCAATTTGAATGCATGCACACACACACAGTATTGCACCAAGGCTATACATCGACGTTGGCCCTGTCGATGCAATTCTGATTCTCTTCTACCTGCAGGCTGTGATGCTCACTGGTGCGACCCCCTGGCCAGCCTCCAGTTCTGCAGCAGCACATACCACTGGCTCAGCCGAGAGGCGCAGGCTCTGGCGCTTGACCTGTGCGGCGGCCGCTGCCTGTTCGTGCTTGAGGTAAGGAGCCCGGCGCCGCGGGCTGGCACTTTTGGCTCGTCATCGCATAGCAAGGGTTGCACGCAGCAGACCTTGGCTTGAACAGCATGCCTGTGTCCATTTCCCGATCCCCCAGGGTGGCTACCACCTGGCCTCCCTCGGCGAAAGCACAACAGAATCTTTCAGGGGCCTGCTGGGCCTGGACTCCGTGTCTCAGCCACCTGCTGAGCTGACTTCCAGGCGGCTGCTGCAGGAAGAGCCCCTGCTGAAAGTAGAGCGCGTTATTGCCGAGGTCAGACGGCTGCATTCCCTAGCATAGCTTCTAACACGTGTTAGTGCCTGCGTTGCCTTGGCAGTGCTGCGTTTTGTTGTGGTGCTGGCCGCGTGAGCTGAGAGCCATTTGCGTCTGCTGTCTACACGTCGTCCACGATCAAACAGTGCACAGCAGGAGGCATGCCAGCATGAAAGCGCTGTCTGCTGAGCGGTGTGACCATCATGGGCCACAAGGTTACACCGCCTTGCTCTCAAATGAGGAGCGTGGACGAGGGTCAAGCAGCAGCACTGCGCCAGCGCCCCAAAAGACACGCTGCGCACGCTATCACCAGACGCCCCCGCCCGACCGCGCCCATTGCTGGTGCTTTACACATCAGCGATGGTGACCTCCACCTCAACCCCGGGCTCGATGCTGCAGGCGGCAGGGGGTGAAATGGCAGCGACATCAGGAATGGTGGCGGGCCTCCTGTTGCTATTGCCACCAGAAATGGAGATCAGCAAATGCTACCATCACCTGCTCAGCCGTCAGAAGCCCCAACTGTGAGACGGGCTCGGGGTGCCCATCGGTCCAGCTGATGCAGGCACGAGGACGCACCCGCCCCACTCCACACGGCTGAACCATCACCCTTGCCCTGCCGATGGCCGTGCCCATCGCGCATGCACGGGCCCGGCCATGGGCGTCCCTGCCTGCCGCGCACCTGATCGAGGTGATCTGCTTGACCACGTCGGCGGGGGAGCGCAGGTCGATGAGGCGCTTGTGGATGCGCATCTCGAAGCGGTCCCAGGTGTTGGTACCCTCACCGCAGGGCGACTTGCGGGTGGTGATGCGCAGCACCTTGGTGGGCATGCGCACGGGGCCCTTCACCTTGAGCTGCTTGTCCTTGGCGCCGCGGATCAGGTCAGCGCACACTGCAGCGGGATGGGAGGGGCAGGCCTGAGAAAGCAACAGGGTGGTGCCTTGCCAATGAGCCGCTTCCGTGCTGGTGGTCTCAACTGCAGCGCTGCTATGTGCGCGGTCATTTGTCACGCCAGCAGCTAAGGGACATTGACACCCGCTGCGAGCGACTTGCACCGTTGCAACAACAAAGGCGATGTGAGCGGAGGTGCGCTGCTACGTCAGCTGGAGCGGCACTGCATCCGCTGCACTGCACGCTGCTCGCCCAACACTGGCCGGCTGCCTGCTCAGCGAGACTCGCACGCTTGAAAACTCACCTTTCTCCAGGTTCTTAACGTTCCTGGAGGTGAGGGTGATCCTGATGCGGTGCACCTGAGCCACCTCCGCCTCCACACCCGCCTTCTCAACACCGGGCTTAGCGACAGCGGCCATCTGCATCAACAAAAAGCAAAAGATTAAGAGCGAAGATTCAGATGTGGATGCCCGTCTTGGCTGTCCTGAGTCTCGCCCACCCTGCCAGACCGCGCCGCTCACGTTTGCTGTGTTAAGTGTGGAGACACGTCCCCGAGGCAGACACTGCGCTTGAGCAGCCGTTCACTGAGGGAGAGGGCGAAAGCCAGGTGCGCGCGTGGCTTTGGCCGCCGCCCTGTGCATGTGCCCCTGCGTATCCGCTTCAACCTGTGAGCAGCAGAGGCTGCCCCCTCTGCCACCCGCGGCCAACCAATAGCATCTCAATGAGTAGTCTAGGGTTTGAAGTCCCAGATACGTACGCGCGAACGTGCTTGAACTCAGGTGTCCCTGCATGCATCAGTACGGTAACAGCGGGCTGACCACCCGTTGCCAATGCACATCCTTCAGACGCTGCAGCTCACAATATCTGTCCGCCGTGTCGAGTTTGCGAGTGTGTTCGTATTGACGTGTCATGCTCTCAGCACCTCTGTGCACTGCGCCTTTGTGGAAGGAAGCCCTAGGCCAACATCGGTGTGCAGGCTGGTACACGTGGTCGCAACATGTCATCCTGCATTTCATAAGTGAATACAAAATCAGCCGTTACTGCAAGTCAGTGGGAGCCTACATGTGCTGAATGTTGGCATCCCGTGCACTGCGTTGACCGATCAACTTGGCGTTTTTAACACAGTACAGGCCACGGCAGCATTGTGCCATGGCCAAAGCTGGCTTGCCACAACATCAAATTACACATGTCTGCATACTCATCATTGCCGCATTGCAGCAAACGCAGTGACCAGATAACAACTGGTGTGGTTGATCGTCACCTGAAGCACTCGCAACGCCGCCTGCCCGCCGCCTCACCAACCAAACCAACGTTGATATGGGCGATCCAGCAGTTTCTACCGACTCTCTGCCAATCAGCCAACCTCTTCTGCCGGACAGGTCGGTCTACACTGCGTGCATCCGGTTCGCCACTTTGCGTAGATCAAAATTGATCATCAGTGCGCACACCGAATGCCTTCAGGGCTTCTCCTTGAGTTCCAGACAATCTTGAGCAGTATAGATGAGCCTGATAAAAGTACAGCAGTCAGAGCGGGCGGGCTCTGACGAGCAGCGGGTGCAAGGGGCTTCACCCAGCATGAGCAAGCGGGAGGCCGAGGACAAGCCCTCGAGCAAAAATGGAATTGAACAGGACGAAGAGATCTTTCACAATCGTGGTGAGGCCCACATGTCGTGTTCGTCTCAGGGCCGCCACGGCTCGCACCCCTGCCGCCACTGCAGCAGACTGTAGTCGCAGCGGGATACGTACTAGCCGCCACGTTTTTGGCCGCAAGCGTCTGCTGCTGATGCTTTTGTGCGGCTCGCCTTCTCTTGGCAGGCCTGGAGGTGTGGCTGGAGCGGCGTCAGCAGTGGCGTTCAGAGGGCAGCAGTGAAGATGCGCAACGGGAGCAGGAGGAGAGCCGGAAGCGCAAGCGGTCCTACACGTAAGCCTGTGGCTTGCGCCCCACCATCCTGTGCCTTGCGTCCCACCAGCCAGGCCATTCAACACCCTTCGTTTGCACCATTTCCAAGTGGCCACACCTTGCGTATGTGCGACACTCACTCGTGCAGGCCCACTGTGACGGTCGAGCAACTGCTGTCGTTTCAACCGCTGCCGCACCCCGTGCCCCTTGAGGTGCGATCCCTGGAGCCTTGGCACCTGAACTGTGCTCCTGCCACGAGCTGCACAGCAGCGCACAGGCCCAGCTGCCGCCAACCCCTCAACGCCCATGCAGCTGTGGCGCCAGGAGGCTCCAATTTTGCTGCGCGGCATCACTCACTTCTCAGCAGCAGCCATGAGTTCGCACCTGCTGAGCTAACCGCCACTCCTCCCGCCATCACGCGCAGGAGGCCGTAGAACTTCTAGCGGAGCTGTGGGAGTGCGAGGAGCCGTTTTGAATCAGCCAGGAGGCCCACAGCTGTTTTGCAGGGCGCAGTGAGGGCGCCGGCAACTCCCCAGCAGGGTGCTGTCCTGCGAGCTGCGCGCTCCTGTCTGTTCTCTCGACCCCGTCTTCGTCGTCAGGCCCACTTTTGCAAGCCGATTATGTCTTTTGAGTTTTGACCCACCATTGGTTGCTTCTTGGCCAACTGGCTGCATGCGCAGGGCCGCACGCCCGACACAGCCATGCATTCTGTATTTATGCCATCGCCATCCATCATCCCATCAACCCCTCCCAGGGTCAATGGGCCTCCAGCGGTTGGCCCCGCGCCAACCCTTGGTCTAGCTTGTTGACCAAACTCATCCGCCTCACCAGGCCTGCCAGCCTCCCCCCCCTGTGCTTCTCAAGCGCGAGCGCACAGCCAAAAACGCACGCAAAGGGCAAGGTTGCCAACACCAGCGCAGCGGCCGCGCGCGTTTAAGTGATGGGTATGACGTTGTCGGGCGCCGCGGCAGCACAGTGGTGATGTATGGTTTGTGCGCCTCCCTTGTTTTTGGCGCAAGTTTTGGTGATGCACAGCGTCGGACAACTGTAGCAAAGGGGTGCATTGAACGCCTGTAAAGGGTGTTCTGGCTTGTCTTAGAGAGCGTGCCACGCTTTCAGATTTTCAGGTGTGAGCTGAAGGTCAGGGCAGGACGAACTCAAGGGGTGCGAACGGCGGGAGGCAGGGAGGCATGCTTGCCTCTGTTCAGCGATGCTTCCGGGATGGTCGCCTGGGTTGAGGGGCCGTCGGGACTCGGCTGGGGGCCACAAACTGCTGCTGCAGGCCACCTCCTCAAATGCATTCATCACACGCGTGCGGGCCGGTCTTGTCCATGGCCCATATGACCAACCAGACCCGTGCTGGTGTGTCGTGTCGCGGGGCACTCGACTGTCGGCACCGGGTGGACTGCGCCTGTGCCAAGCGATGGGGTCTACTTGCGTCCGGGGGGAGCTGCTCGCTATGCAATGAGCAGTAAATTCATTGTAGCTGAATCACGGCAAGGACTTGCGCCACGGACACGCTCGGAATCCAGCGATAAGCGATCTCAGCTCCAAGGAGCGTTCGTTATCAATTGTACAGCTGTTTCGAACCGTAAATACGGGCCGCGGCCATCTGCAGGGCCCACGGCCCAGGTCAAGGGCTGCACCAGCGGCGCCACCCAGCCTGCATCCCGCCTCGCCCGTTTGCTGCACGGACGCCTCAGTGCAGTCACCCGCCGCCGTGCATACCCTGAGCGATGGAGGCAGTGACGAAGCCGCTGGAGCTGCGGGTGCCGTTGTGCGCGGCAGAGCATGAGGCTGCCAAGCGGACAGTTTGCGTGACGGGCGCGAGCGGCTACGTTGCTGCGTTCGTCGTGCAGCGACTGCTGGCCGCAGGCCACACCGGTGCGTGGGTGTTGAGTACGATAAGCGAGCGAGGAGGTTGGGGTATGTTTCACATGCCCGACCCATGCCAAACCGTGCTGTGGGGCAGCACTCCAGCGCTGCCATTGGCAGCTCTGCCGCACTTCCCTTCAACAGCATGCCCACTATCGGCGCTTGCCAACTCACACCCTTACCCTGCACACACGCGCACACGCACACACACACACACACACACACACACACACACACACACACACACACACACACACACACACACACACGCACGCACGCACGCGAGAGCAGTGCACGCCGCGGTGCGGTCCCGCGCAAAGGCGCAATTCTTGACGCGCCTGCCCGGGGCCGGCAAGCACCTGCGCGTGTTTGAGGGCTGCGACCTCCTCGTGCCGGGCAGCTTCGACGCCGCCGTCGCCGGCTGCGACTGCGTCATGCACACCGCCAGCCCCTTCGCCATCGGCGTCAGGTGCGGCGGCCGGCCGGAAAGGTGGAACCGACGCGGCGAGACCGCAGGCTGTGCTGGGTGCTTCGCGCCTGGTCGCCATCAACCAGACCTTGCTGCAAACGGCCCTTCCACCCCACGCAGGGCAGACAAGGTGCAAGAAACCCTGATCAAGCCGGCAGTTGAGGGAACACGGAACGTTCTGGGTGAGCAAACAGAAGACGTTATGGCATGCTGCTGCACAGCAGGCGTCAGCCTGAGCAATCCCGCCCCTGCTGCTGGCTGCGCAGCAACTTCCCCGGCACCCCTGCTCGTCTCACCCTGGCCGCTGCTGACTCATCCTTGCTACCTGTGCACGACGGTCCGCGGTGTGCATTTGCGAATGCACACGCTGTCCCAGACTCCGTGAACCGCACGCCCAGCGTGGGCCGCGTCGTGCTGACGTCATCCATCACGGCGGTGCTGTCGTATCCCATCCCCGGGCGCACCTACACCGAGGCAGACTGGAACGACCAGGCAAGCGGTCAGGGACAGCTGTGTTGCCTTGCCGTGCACGTACTGAGGCAGCCCGTGGCTGCTCTGACGATCTATCGCGCACATTGCAGCCGGGGCGGGGCGGTGCTGGCAGCTTGAGCTGCCAGCTTGCCCCAGTTGCCATGAGGCCCGCCTACCCGTGCCCTGCTTTTCCTGGCCCCCTCTTTCTTTCTGCCGTTGCCACGGTAGCAGAGCCTTGCACCAGGATTCCTCCAGCCTCTGAGTTGAACGAAAAGCTCACCAGACACCCAACAAAATTGGTGTCTGAAACCTCATCCCCAGGCAACTGATTCTGAATACGCATACGAGCTGTCAAAAACCCTGGCGGAGAAGGCCGCCTGGGAGGCCGCGGGCGCGCAGGGCCGCTGGGACCTGGTGGCCCTGCTGCCTGGGCTGGTGTTCGGCCCGCCGATGGACTTTGGGCACTCCACGGCGCAGAGCGTGCACGTGATGCGGCGCATGCTGCGCGGGGACATGTCCGTGGGGTGAGGTGCAATGGCCGGGCACTGCTGGGAGGCCAGGGGATGGTTGAGGGGAGCGGCTGCTGGCTGAAGGCAGGCGCTCTTGGCTGGGCCCCCACGATGATGCCAATGGAAAGAATCCAAGACGGTCCCTCTGAAAGCTGTGACTTCTCACTTGACTTAGTGTTTGTGACGCCCTGAGCGCATGGGCGAAGCACTCTGCTTTAATGCACACACACGTACTCAAACACACTCACCCACACGCGCGCACACACGCATGCGCACACGCACAGGTACCCTGAGTACCTGCTCAAGGCGGTTGATGTGAGGGACGTGGCCAAGGCCCACGCGATGGCCATGATCACGCCAGGGGCGCACGGCCGGTGGGCGTGGATACGGGAGGCAAGGGGGATGCGAAGGGGTTTGGCAGACGAATCGGGCGATGGGGTGCTATGCCGCATGCTGCAGGTGCGGCCGTGTGCGTGCACCAAGCATCGCTGTGAGGTCGGGCCTGAGGCTGGGGCTGAGGCGCTGGCGGCTGCTGGCATTGGCAAGCAGTTGCTGCAAGGTGTGAGCGGTCGAGTGGATTGCTACGCTTCATGCGTTGCACTGACCGCAACATGCCAAGTCATGACACCCAACTTTACGCGGCGCAACCCTGGCGGACTCAGGTACCTCCTCACGCCGCACGACTTCTCATTTGGCCATGTGAAGCGCATCATCGCCGCCGGGCCCCTGGGCAAAGACCGTGGCATCGTGCGGCGTCTGCCCTCGGAGCCGCTGTGAGCGCCCGTCGACCGCACACGAGGATGCTTGGCGATGGGTTTCCGCAATGGCTGCACACGCACCCTCATTGTCTGCTGGCGCTCCTTCAGCGCGCCTCCTTGCTTCCTCACCAGCAATATCATCAATCGAAGGGCATCAGCCTTTTAACATTGCTACTGGGGCCATAACGTGCATGGCTCGACAGGTTCAAGAGGCTGCTGTGGCTGATTGCTGATCTGATCAACATCGAGCGCTACAGGATCTAGTGAGTAGCACATGACGGCCCTCGACACGACAGATCCTCACCAGCCTTGTGTCATGATATAAGGCTGCAAATTGACACGTACGCTTGCAGCAGTGGGAGGGATCCCCAATGCAACCTGCCCTCTCACTCTTGCATCACGGTCTTTTGGATCACCAGCAGCAGCGAACACGCCCCAAACCCCCTTACCCCCACCCTCCCGCTAACAACAGCTCCCCCTCAACCTCACCCACGTCCACCCAATTCACCATATCCCCACCCTGTCTTTGCAGCCAGATGTATGGCGTGGAGCTTCACACTGACGGGTCACGGTGTGAGAGGGATCTGGGGATGACGTCATGGGTGCCGGACGCGGAAATGTACAACCAGATGGCGGGTGAGCCACGGCAGCGTGATGGGGTGCCCAGCATTTGCCATTCACTTCAAGGTTGCTTGAACAATCCTATTTCGCAAATTTGAGTTGTGTGTCAGTCCCTGGTAGAGGTGAGGCAATGGAGACACGTTCATGCTGTCAAATCAATCAACTTGTTCCACTGGCTCGTAGCAAAACGACTCAACAGCTGCCACACACCTGCCCACCCATCGACCACTCGTCCACCGTTGCCGGATTGCACGTGCATGCACGCAAATTCTCATCGCATGATGTGCACACGCACACAATCACGCCTCCCCCTGGCCCCTGCAGCCACCATGATCGTGATGGGCATGTGCAAGTGGATGGAGCCCCTCAAGTACGCCCCCCTCTGCGCCGCCGACTCCCTGGCGCCCGCCGCTTATGACGGGCCCTGGAGGGGCAGCTGCTGGGACTCCTGCTGCTGCATCGTCGCCGACGCCAGCCAGCGGGCGATCCTCGGGTCTTATGAGGTGCACAACGAGGTCAAGCCGCGATGACGTTATCGTCGCGGACGGCGCCACAGCCAGCGCTCCCGTGATGTGCAACCTGTGATGGCAAAATGCATTTGCTGACCGCACGCAACCCTGTGCACAGGCCTTTGGCTTCGCGAGGATACAGGGTGTGGCATGCTCAAATGGTTGACAATGAGCGTTGAGCAGCTTTGGCTGGGGATGAGTGATCATATTGCAGCACCGCCGGCCTCGCCAACCTCTGTCGCCTTGCTGTCAGTCAATGCAGCGAGCACGTGGACCCAAACGACGATATTTTTCCCCCACGCACACCAGGGCGTTATTAGGGTGGTTGTGCGAGGTACGCATGCACAGCCCATGCACAAGAGCCTGAGCCGTCGGGCTCAGCGCTTGCTCCCTCTTGCCGCCAGCGCCGGTTCGTTGCCTTTGTGATGCGTGGTGAAGCCCATGGGCTTGTGCACAATAAATCAATATTACCTATCGCAATTTTGTTTCGAAGTTTGGCAACTGCTGCCTGACTTCCTCCTGCATGGATGCGAGGTGTGCCCTTCTTCCACACGCGCGCCCATCAATGGCTTGCAGACCCCCATGCCTCCCGCCCTCCGTGTCCTCAGCAAGTTGCGCTGCAATCCGCCACCCCGGGACGCGCCTTAGCCGCCAGGCGCGGGTTGCCCACCCGCGTGCACACCGGCAGGGTCCAACTTTTCCCCGCCTGGTGCCCGCCCGCATGAATTAGTGCCCGCTCGCGAGAGCCCCTGGCGCCGATGAAGATTGTAACATCCCAAAGGTTTCAACTTGCAATCTGCCGCGGCGCGACGGCGCACAGGCGTGTCGAGGGTGCAGCGGAATGCAGTCAAGCAGTCAAGAAAGCGAGAGTCGCCAGTCCTGAACAGACAAGCTGGCGTCTCGAAGCAGTCGCACAGGTCCGGCGCAACGCCATCAGTCGCCCTCGCTCCCGCCGCCGCTACCCGACTGCGGCGTGCCAGCGCTGCCGACGCTGCTGCCGCCATGATCGCCGCTGCCGCCGCCGCCGCTGCCGCCGATGGTCGCGCCGCCGCCCTCCTCCTTCTGTAGCCGCAGGTAGGTCGCCAGCGGCAGCAGGTCCTGCATCCTCACGAGCAGCAGCTTGGCGATCGCAAACCCGATGGTCACGGCGATGGGCACCTCTATGACCTCGCGCCACCAGCGCTCCGGCACCGCCAGCAGCAGCGCCTGCTTCCCGGCGTCTAAGCCCCGCGCGCCGAGGGTGAGCGCGAGGTACGGCCACGCGTAGGCCGCCGCATGCTTCGCCATCAGCTGCCGCGAGCGCGCGAGCGACGCGGCGGGCGCGGTGCCGGCGAGCACGGCCGCTGGGACGGCCAGCTGGATGGCGAGCAGGCGGGGGAAGGTCCAGAAGACGGGCAGCACCAGCAGCGACGCCGCCTGCAGCGGCAGCGACCACGCGTTGAAGGCGAGGTCCACGAGCCACACGCGCCGCAGGGACGGCGCGGCGGCGCGCCAGCCGCGGCGCGCCTCGGCCAGGCCGGCCTTCAGCTGCGCGACTGGGCCGGTGCCGGGGTGCGGCGGCGCGCGCGCCGGCTGCTGCTGCTCCGGCTGCTGCTGCTGCTGGCCCTGAGTGTCCCCCTTGAACGTGGCGCCTCCGCCGCGCCCGGCGCCCGCGGCGGCGAATGAGGCGCCCCCTTTCGCGCCCGAGGCCATGGCTGCTGCCGCAGCGGCCGCGCGCCTGCCGCCTGCCGTGCCGCCGCTGATGCTTAGCTTGCTGCCGCTGCCGCCGCTGCTGCCGCTGCTGCTGCTGCCGCTGCCGGTGGTGGTGGTGGCCGGGCCGCCGCCGCCTTTGCTTGTGCCAGGGGGGTCGGCCCATCTGTGGCGCCCGGTGCAGACGAGTGCGGCTGTGCTGCTGGCAGCCGCATTGAACAGGATGTTGACCGGCAGCGATACTAGGAAAAACAGCGCCACCACAAATTGGTAGCCTGCGTGAGCAAGGTGGACCAGTGCAGACGCGGAGGCGGGGGGGTCCGTGGTTGGAAGGCGGTTGGTGCTGATCACGCACCCACGCGGGGAGCGATGGGGCCACCCGCCTTCCGCTCGGGCCGCGCGCGCACAGGGACCCCTGCACGTGCCTGCAGAGCGCGGCGGCGCGCGACCCAGTCACGCGCTGCTGGCGGTGCCGAGCGCCGTGCTGGTGCTGGTGCTGGCCCCGACAAATGGTCACCCCCGGTGGGCACTGCTGCGGCAGCTCACGACGGCCAGGGCGCTCACCCCAGTGGACCTCCACGAATTTTGGGTCCAGGAAAAGGTACCACGGGTTGACAAACGGCGGCAGCTGCACCCCCAGCATGCCCTCCGCAACTGCGCGGAGGACGGAAGGGCGTCAAGTTGCGGGCGGGCGCGGCGCTTGAGGGGCCGCAGGCGCTGGCTGCATGCTGCTATGGCGCCTGGCAGACCACGCCAGGGACCCCTGCGCATGTATATGCACACGGCGCGAGCCCGGCCCGGCAGCTGGACTTTGAGATCACCTGCATTGGTCATGCGCTGAGTGGTCCTGTGAAGGACGAAAACAATGGCCTCCTTGATGGCATGGATCACAACCACCGCCGCCAGGTTGGCGCGCAGCAGCTGCCAGCAGCCGACCAGCAGGGCGCGTGCCTCCCTGTTGGGAAGCCAGCCCGGCAGGCGCAGGCGCTTGGTTTGCTGCTGTTGCTGTGGCTCCTGCGCCTGCTGCGGCTCCTGCTGCTCGTGCCGCTGCGGCAGCTGCTGCTGCTCATCAGGGTTGTGTTCGCTTGTGCCTGGGGCTACCGCCGCCGGCTGCAGATGGGCCGTCCGTCGGGCTCTGCGAGGATGCAGGGCGCAGTCAGCACGCACGGCGCATAGAACGCCTGCTTGCCGGCTTGCTATAAGCAGGCAGCCCATGTTGTGCACATGCCACGCCTGGCGCGATGAGTCCGCGCACCTGGGGCGCGACGCATGCAACGGCGCCGGGGTTTTCCGTCGCTCCGGCGGACCGCTGGACCCCCGCGACCAAGTAGAACCCTTCAGCAACGCCTGCATCACACCGCACGCACTCCTCTAGCTGCCGTTGTTGTCACTCCAGTTGTGATCAGATCAGAGGCGACCGGCGAGTTGGCCAAATATGAGTATGCATCATGCGAGCAGTAGAAGAGGTGCGACGTAGGGAGCCGGACCAAGTTGCTGTTCGGGTGACACGGGCGAGTGAGAACGAAGGACCGCGGCCAGTTCAAGAACTTGAATTAGGCATCTTATTTACCAGCTACTCCTATCACCTATCGGGGTTGCGTCAGACACTACCCTGAGGCGGACGGGTAGGGAGACAATTTCAATTTGCGTCGAGCAGTTGTCGTCAAAACATGACATGGGCCTCGGATCGTCGAATTAGTGTATGACAAGGCGCTTCATCGCCATTCTATAAGGTTGCACTATGCAGCTGCAGCAGCGAGCGTGCGTGAAGGCGCGTGCGCACGCGATCCCGCTTTTCACGACAGTCCCTCACAGCCACGCCTGGTCGGCCTGGACCTTTGCGCACTTCATTCATGGCCCCGGCCGCCACAAGGCAAGCAGACGGTCACCTTGATGCTGCCAACAGACTACATGCAGACCGTTGGAAGGGCAGTGGGATGCCCCCGATTGCTGCTTCGCCCTTGGACGCGCCAATCCTGATCACAGCCGGCAGCAGCTGGGCCGCCCTGCATTTGGGGCGCGCCCTGCTTGACCGCGGCTGCCCCAAGGTCCTGTTGTTTGACCAGCGGCCGCCGCTGTGCCCCTTGGAGCCGGGCCTCGTCTGGTGCCAGGTGCGTGCATGTGCATGCAATGCGCATCTGCCCCACCCGAGCTCCCTAGCCTTCCCCTCCGATGAAACAAAATGCTGCAGGAGTTTGCGTTTGTTTCTTGCCTGAATTGGTGTCTGCCAATGCCCAGGCCCTGATGCTCAAGAAAGGACAAGCGGCCTTCAAAACCGCACCCCTCAACACCCGCAGGGTTGCGAGGCGGACGGCCCCGAGCTGCTGCTCGAGGCGCTGGGCGCCCACAGCCCTGTCGCGGCTGTCGTGCAGCTTGGCGCTTGCGCCGCAGGGCGCGCAGGCGAGGGGGCCTTGGACGAGGCGTCAAGACGTCGCATCATTCTGGTGAGAAAGCAGTATACGAGCTGCCTGCAGCATAGCCAGGTTCAGGAAGCATTGTGGGTTACTTCTCCGTCACTTGTAGGCATGCAGACTACTGTTGAAGTGTGTATTGCACCCCTGTTTGAATTGGGCTCCCCCAGCCACTAGCCGAAGGGGACTGTTCCTGCCGTGCTCACGCTTCTTCCAGGGCATGCGCAACGTGGTGAGGGCGTGCGCCACGGCGGGTGTGCGGAGGCTGCTGATCGCGACGATATGCAGCGGGACCACAACCGACCCCCAACTGGCTCAAGCCCTTGGCTCTGAGGCTCCGACGGTGCAGCCGGATTGCGCAATCCATAGCAAGGGCGTTTGCTGCCGCGTTGGGGCCAGCTGCTATGGGAGCACCACAATCATGTCGCTTGTGGGCATCCGCAGCAGCTCCTGCAGCGGTACCATAGCGGAGGACCTACCTGCACACTCGCAGGGCCAGCAGCCCCTGCGGCCAGGGGGTTGGTGGCCGTTTGCGTTGTGCGCACCTTTTGTCGCTCCTGGTGAAGGGAGTGGGGTCGCGACAGAGGAGAATAAGTGGCGCCTGATGGCTTCCTTGGTAGCTCAGACCACCTGCGCCCTGCTCTCCTGATCGCAGCGTGGTTTCAACCTCTGGTCTCTGCGGTGGCTGCCTGCAATCGCAGGCTGTGCTGCATCACATGGTCGGTGCACCGGTCTTGCTTGAGACATCTGTTGCACAATCTTCACTTAGCCAGCCACAAACACCAGTCATGTTACTGCGACCAAATGAAGTGGAGCACAGGCACGCCATGCGCGTTGCGCAACTAGCAAGGCAGAAAGGAAGAAAATACCGGCGGTACGATTGTTCTGTGGTACAGGGGCACATACACTCTCGCGCGTTTATTGTGCAGGTAAAAACCTGAAAGCACGGGTGCACGCGATGCTGGCGCACGGGCGCCGGCAAGCGCACAAGCACCGCTGCCTGCTCAGCCAATTCACATGCGCTCCACATCATCGGCACGAGCTGGCGTGGACTCAATGCCGCTGCAGCGCCTTGGGTTCACCGCTGCTCTTGCAAAAGCCAGGCTGCCCTACGTTAATTTGCCCTGACCGCCTCGACTACACTGCTCTGTCAAGGTCAGACGACGACCGCTCGATTGGCTCCGACAGCGCAGTGCAGAAGCTATTGGCTCTTGAGCTGCTGGCTGCCGCGTGGGACGCCGCACTCTGCATCCCCTCTGAACCCTCCTCGTCGTCGCTGCCCCATGGCGGCCCCGCCAGCAGCGGCAGCGCGAGCTCCGCCGCCGGCGGCGCCGCCGCAGCCCCTGCTCGTGCGGCCGGCGCCGCTGCCGCGGGCGGCGAGACGGCCGTAACGACGGCCGCAGCGACCGCCGACGGCGCCGCGACGACGCGGGTGGTTGCCTTGCGCCAAGCGCCCCTAGGGGGAGGGGGCTCAGGCGGGGCCCCGGCCTCGACCCACTCGCGCGTCAGCGACTGGCGGCGCTCCAGCCACTCGCGTGCATCCGGGAGCAGCGGGCGCAGCGAGGACAGGGCGTCGCGGGGCGCCCGCTGCTGCAGCACGCGGCGGAAGGCGACGGCCTGGGCGAGTAGCAGCCTGGCGGTGCAGGCAGGGCAGCAGTAGAGGATGGTGCTTGTTGGTGCTGCGTGCCATGTGGCTTGCATGTGCCCTCTGTTTGGATGTTGCGAGCAAGGTATCACTCGACTGTGCGGGAGTGCGGTGTCCAGGGCTGGCACCATACCAGGCAGCAACTCACCCAGAAAAGAGGACGCCCAGCGCCTCTGTGGCCAGCAGGCCTGGCACGCGCAGGGTGACGTCGCCCGCGACCAGCTGCCCGCTGGGCAGCTTCCGGCCGGGGGACATAGCCAGCGTCAGCGTGACCGCCGCCTTTGCCACCAGCCAACCGCCCGAGACCACGTGCGCCGCTATCGCTGCGCCGAGCCCCGCGCCGCGGGGCGCGCAGCCAACCGTGGCGACGGCGCGCAGCAGGGAGGCCAGCAGCAGGTCGAGCAGCGCCGCTGCGGCATCAAGCGCAGGGTCCGCTGTATGCGGCAGCAGCGCGTCGCGCAGCGGGCCGGCCTCGACGCACGCAAAGAATATCATCGATAGTGTCGATGCGATATCCACCATTGCACTGAGCGCGAGCGCGGCGGGCGCGACCGCCTCTGCGCGCTCATCCATCCTGCAGCAGACTAGCCCGGCTGGCAGGTGGCGCCGACAGGCCCTCGCACTGTGGCCGCGTTTGCAGCCACCTTGACCTGAAATTGATTATTGTTGATGGAGCAAGAATGGAAGAATTGATCGCGCGAAACGGCGCAACGGCACTGCTTGTTGGTTCGCGATCTACGCAACCTGTTGGCAAGCATACAATACACATTCGTGGCGCAAGGATAGCATACTGCGTTTACCGGAAGCTGCTTCTTGTTGTACAACGGACGGACAGTGCCTGGACAGTGCGCCAGTTGGAGTGACGCAGCAATGCCCACGGGGTGGGGTGGGGTGGGTGGGGGCAGGCTGCTGTGATGGATGCCCCGTATGACTAATTAGGGTGCCCCTTGATGTTTCCATAACAAACCAAATCTCAACAAGCTTGTGCAGGAGAGCACCGTGCCGTTATCATAAGGGTGGTGCGAATTTGGTTTGTGCTGGTGCAGGTGCAGGTGCCTTGGACAGCTGCCCTCTCCAGAGACATTCAGGCGTATGCGATGCAGGCGACTGGATATCACGGCCTGGGTACACGCCGCCTGTTTGGTCGGGTGGCGGGTGCAGCGTCAGGCAACATCATCACTCGCACACAAGGCAGCAAATACACCAGTACCAGCAAGCACCAACACCAGCCAATCACCACCGGGTGTGAACAGTGTTAGTCCAAAGAATTGTATGCAGTCTTGATGTTGTACGCAGGTCGGAAGCTCCATCACAAGCTGCAAACTTGTGGGGGCAAGCACCTCCAGGTGCGCAATGCCGTAGAACGAGGCGTGCTGCCCATGCAAGATAACAGCGCCCTTGTTGCGTCCCGGCATCATCAAGGAGAGGCAGCCCGGATGCAAGGACGATAATGGCCCGAACGCAGATGAACCTGCACTCGTGGCTGAATGCCACAGGTACTTGCCAAGCTGCTCACAGGACGGCGGGCGTGCATATGTGGTGTGTCAGTGAACGCACTCAGCTGTGATGATCAAAGTCCTCATGACCACACTAGAGTTCTGAAAAACTGATAAATTTGGCGGCGGGTCTTGCGCAGGTGCCAGAAAGATGATGCAGCTCATGGCGCCCACAGCGATTTGAATGCGTCGACATCATTCAAATTCGGCAGCACGGCGCAACGCCCGCACCAGTGGGCCGCACATATGCACCTCATGTCTGTTGTGTTGGATGTGAGTCTTTGCGGCACATGATTTGTTTACAGCGAGTCCAGTGTGAACGGCGCCAGATCACACGCAAGGACTCGTTTGCCATGGCAGCGACCGTAATTTGATCATTGGCCCAGTGATTTTGGTCATTACAGGGCCTTTCAGCCTTTGGTGGAGGGATGGAGCAGGCCAAGCTTGCGTGCGGCCTTGCCGCGCGGGATGCGGGGAGCAAAGCGCTCGTCAAGAGCTGGGGCAAGGTACATAAATGCCAGTTTTTGCAGCTCAGGTGCGTTGGATCCAGGCGGGAGAGGAGGCCGAGGACACAGTGTCGGCACGCGCAGCACGCCATGGTGCCGCTCCCATCGTTGTTTGACCGGAATCGCGCATTCGGCCGCCTCGTGAGCGAGATTGTTGAATCCTGCAAGGGTTCGGGCAGCATCAGAGGCAGAGCAGCTCGTCCTGAGCAGCAGGCGCCTCTCTGTCAGACTGTGCTGGCGAGCATCCACCAAATGCCGTCCCTGAATACGGCCCCATGCGTCCACCCGTCCACCCAACGCCCCACCCATCTGCTCAGACCGCAATTGACTCTGCAGCGGCTGTCTCAGGAGCTGCTCCGTCACTTCGGCCTGTCGCCCAGCGGCGGCGCCGCCGCGGGCGCGGCGCTCACGGGGCCCAGCGGCGGCGCCGGCGCGGGCGAGTGGCACGTGCTGCTGTTTCCGGATGTCTCAGCGCACTGTCATCTCAAGAACACCTCTTGGGGCCCTGCATACCCTCATGATGTCACAGTGAGCGCCGTGTGATGTGTTTCTGCTCACGAGGCGCGGGGCACAGGGAATCTGGGTGGCGTGAATCCTGTTGTGCTGTGTGGCAGGTGGTTGCATGCAGCAGCGTGCGCGGAGGCCTCTGGACAGGCGGCGTGGGCCGTGCCGTTGCCGGTTCCGGCGCAGTGGCATGGCAAAGCCATGCCTACTAACGGTGCTGGTCAGCCCGTGCAGAAGGCACGGACGCAGCCGGCCAGCACGCTACCCTGTCGTCCTCACTGCCGGCGGCCACGCCTCGACCTGCCCCTCAAACTGCCATGCCAACACCTTCAGGTCAGAGATGTGTGGGTCATGATGGACCGCCCTGCCCTCATGTGCTTCCACTACTCCCTGGTGCCCCCGGCCGACCCCACCTCGCCGCCGCTTGTCATGAGGCCGCAGCGGCAGCCGCTGCGACAGCTGCCGGGGGACCCGGTCGCCGCGCTGCGCTTTGACAGCGCGGAGGGCGCGCCCGCGTCCTGCGGGGCGCCCGGGCCGGCGCCAGAATCTCCAGGCACAGCTGTTGGCGGCGAACGGGCTTCAAGCTGGGCGGCAGGTGCGCATGGCGGCGGCGTGCGGGGCGGACCGCAAGAACAGCGGTGGCCGGTGACAGCAGCGATGCACCAGCCAAGTCGGCAGCAGCAGCAGCAGCAGCAGCAGCAGCAGCAGCAGCAGCATGTGTTCTGTCTGTCGCAGGAGCAAGCCGTGCAGCCAGACAGCACCCCTTCACAAAAGCAGCAGCAGCCCCACCGCCAGCCCACTCAGCAGCAGCCGACGGCCCCGCAGCGCTCGCGGCCCGCGGCGCCGGTCCTGTCAGGCCCCAGCGGCCGCCGCGCCGGCGCGGCGCCGGCCCCGCGCCCGGCCACGGCCGCCAGCGCGCCGGCGGCGGCTGCCCCTGTGCACGCGGCACCTGTGGCGGCGCGGCCGGCGCTCATTCCTGTGCAGCTGGCTGACGGCAGCCAGGGCCTGTTGGTGCCAGTGGGAGACGGCACCATGAAGCTGATCACCCTGGCAGACTTCCAGGCCCTCGCACGCACCGCCCGCCCCGGCGACAGCTGCGGCGGCGGCGACAGCGGCGGCGGCGGCAGCCCCTCAGGCTTGGCGACTGGCCTTGACATCGCCGCAGCGGCGAGCGCCGGGCGCCGCTATGCGGCGCCGCGAAATCGGCGCGCGTGCACCACTAGTGGATGGGACGAAGGGGCGCGGCCGCCGCCGCAGCCGCAAGAGGAGGACGCCGGGTCGGACGAGCCCGAGGCAGAGGCAGCTGCCGCGCAGCTGCGATTGCAGGCGCGCGGGGCGGGGAGCGGCTTTGACCGTCCAGGCATTGAGTGGGTCGGCGCCGGCGGGGCGCCAGCAGATACGGAGGAGGAGGAACAGGAGGAGGAGGAGGAGGAGGAGGAGGCGGCCAGGGAGGGAAGCGGGCGTGAGGGCAAAAGAGGAGGAGCGGGCGTGGCAGTGGCATTGACCGAAGAGCCGCAGAGCGAAGCGGACGAAACGCAGTGGCAGCTGCAGCAGCAGGAGCCGCGGCGCCGCCGGCCGTCGCCGCCGCTCGAGCAGCGGCGCGCATGGCGGGCGCCCATCCCAGCTGGGGCGAGCGGCGGCAAGGGCGGGGCGGCGTGGGGCTGCAAGGGGCTGTCACCGAGTCACTGCAGCTCAGCCAGCAATGCAAGGGGCGAGCTGGGGGCCGCAAGCGGCGCACCGGTCAGCTCTGGAGCAGCAGCGGCGGACGGCGGCAGGCCCGGGCGGCCGGGACGGCCGTGCGGCGGGGAGGGAGGCGAAAAGGAGGACACCAGCAGCGAGCGGGACAGCTTTTGGCGGGGGGGCCCCCAGGTGAGAGGGGGCAGCCTCCAACAGGTGCAGCACCCGTCGAACCGTCACGTCTCGGACGGCGCGGCGCTCTCTGGCCCGGGCGCGCAGCGTGCGGCCCCCGCCGGCTCTGCGGGCGTCGCGGAAATTGAGCAGTTGGCGGTTGAGGCGCTGCTGCGGGAGCCTTCCGTCTTTGTCGGGGGCCAGACTGTGCAGGGCCACTGGCACGGCAGCACAGGCGCGTGGGACACGCTCACTGTGCCGACGCCCTGCAAGCCGGGAGCGCCGGGCAGCAGCAGCGTCTTCAACCCGGCAGTTGCGTTGCAGCAGCGGCTGCGTGGCCAGCGGCACGAGCAGCAGCTGCCTCCCCAGCAGCAGCAGCAGCAGCAGCAGCAGCAGCTGGTTCTGCAGCACGCGAGGGGCGCTGATGAGGACTGGGCGCTGCGGCCGCCGGGGCTAGCGCTCCTGACGCCGCGCAAGCCGGGGCAGCCAGACGCTGCGTGGCCCAGACAGGCGGCCGCTTCTGGGCGCGGCAGCCTGGCGGTGCAATGTGGATACCAGCAGCAGCAGCAGCAGCAGCAGCAGCAGCAGGAGCTGCAGCGGGGCCAGCAGGAGCAGGAGCAGGAGCAGCAGGAGCTGCAACTGGAACAGCAGCATGATCTTGTGGTGCAGATGGCCTCAGGAGACAAGCGGCAGGCAGCTGCACCGTCCGTCCTGCACAGTTTGTTGCCTGCTTCCTCCTTCCCGGCCACTACCAGCGCGTCGCCCCCAGCGCGCCTGGGAGCGCGTGCAGCGCACGTTGTGGGTGCTGTGGCGCAACACAGCGGCGCTGGGGATGGCGCGCCAGGCGACTCGAGCGAGCGTAGCGGACGGGAATGCACAGAGGCATTAGGGCAGCCGCAGGTGCAGCCACCCCTAAGCCCTGCAGGCCGGCAGAGACCTGTCCGTGCGGCAGGCCTCGTCAGTTTGGGCCGAGTCGGGAACGCGTCCGCAGGGGAGTTGCCAGGCGCTTCAGCTGCAACCGGAGGGCTGCGGGGGTCGCGTTCGCCGAGCCCAAGCTCAAACAAACCGCGCTCGGCGGCCGCGGCGCTGACACGGCGCCCCTCGCCGCCGCCGCCCCAAGCCGGCAGGGCGGCCGGCCGGTCGCCCAAGGCCGCCGCCGCTGCGGCGCAGGCGGGGACGACGGCCGCCGCACATCTGCCGCTGCGAGCGGCGGCGCAAGTACTCGTCCCTCCGGCCGCGGCGCCCGCCGCGACTCAAGGGCACGAGCCGCCGCCGCACGCGGCTTTTGCGGAGCGCGGAGGGGTGGCGGCCGCAGCGCAAGATGCGGGGCCAAGGCAGCAGGCGAGCCATGCCGGTCCCGAGCGGCGGGACGGGGCGCTTGAGGCGCTGCTGGCGGATCATGAGGGCAGCAGGCTGGTGGATCTGGAGGGCCTGCAAGAGCTGCTTGGTGAGCCGACGCGCGCCGACGCAGCAGGGGCCGCGACGGAGCAGCAGCCGCGGCAGTGGGGGAATGAGGCAGCGTTGCAGACTCTGCAAATCCAGCAGCAGCAGCAACAGCAGCAGCAGCAGCAGCAGCCAATGGGCCAGCCGCCGCTGCTGGCACTGGAACAGCAGCAGGCCTCAGCAGCACAGCCGCAGCTGGCTTCAACGCAGCCAGAGCCTCAGCCGCGGTCGCAGCCGCAGCCGCAGGCAGGCCTGCCGAAGCCGCCGGGGGCTGGCGCTTTGAAGCAGCAAGAGGATTTCCTGGTGACACTCCTTATGCACCAGCAGGCGTTGCAACGGCAGGCAATGATGTTGCAGCAGCAGCAGCAGCAGCAGCAGCAGCAGCAGCAGCAGCAGCAGGTCCCAGGAAGCAGCAGCTTAACCCCGGGCATGGCCGCCATCCAGCTGCAGCAGGCGGGGGTGCGCGGCCCTGGCGGCAGCGGTTCCACAGCCACGCGACCCGCCCGGCGCCCGCACCGCAGGACGCGGCCGGCGGCGCCGCAGGCGCCGCCCGCTGTGCGTAGCGGCGCCGCCGAGCCGGTGAGCACTTGCGGCAGGGCCGGCGGCGACAAAGAAATGAGTGAGGCTGCCATGACGCCATCAGCGATGGTGTTCCCTGCCCTGCAGCAGCCTCAGCAGCAAGAACAGCAGCAGCGGCACACACAGCAGGGCCACCCGCAGCCTTGGGGGCTGGAGGACGGTGCGCAGCAGGGTTCGCCCAGCGGCACACGGCGCGGCGCCGAAGGGGCGCCGCGCGCGGACGGCACGCCCGGCAGCAAACGCGCGTCGCGCGATGGGGAGGGGAAGGAGGTTGGGCGGCAGCAGCAGGAGCAGGCCGCTGCTGGGGAGGGCGGCTGCGGCCCCCCCGGGTCGGCGCAAAAGCGGCGCCGCTGCCCCACGGGCGGCGGCGACGGCGGCCGGGCTCGACAGCGTTTGGAGTCCCTCCTGGGGCCGCCGGCGGGCGCTCGCGGCGGGCCGGTGCCGCCGGTTGCGGCGGCAGAACCGGGCATGTTTGCGGCGGAGGGCACAGCGGTCGGGGGCAGCGCGAGCGGGGGTGAGGAACATGCCGCCGGGCAGTTGAACGCGGGCTTGCCTGGGCATGACTCGGCAGCAGCAATCCTCGCAGCTTGCTTCCCCGCCGGGGCCCCTCGCCCCTCCCATGGGGCGGAGGCCCTGGCGTGCGCCAGGCCCCAGCAGCTGGGGGCAGTCGGCCTTGGCGCGCCATCTCCGCGCGGCGTGGTGGGCGCGCAGGATCCTGAGCATGATTTGCAGGAGGCCCGGGCTGCGGGTGGCGGAGACAGCGCCGGCGGCCCCGCAGCGCTGTTGGCCGCAGCCACGCCACCCTCGACACCCAGGGGCCCGCCGGCGGCGGCGCCGCAGCTGACGGGCGCCGCCATCGCGGCACTCCTCGCGCGCGATGGGCCGTGCGTGTTCATGTCCCCAGGTGGGGCGTGGCCGCGAGGAGGGCGGCTCAGGGCAGGGCGGATCCCAGCACCCTGCCACGCATAATTTCGACTTGTCTGTCACCTGTGCATGCGTGGCATAAGACACAGCACGCCACAAGCAACCCATCCGTGCGGCTCGTCGCAACCAAGCCTCATGGCTGTCGTCACCAGCCAGCCTCTCCCACCTCTGTTTCTCACGCGCTCCCTCTACTGCAACCTACCAACCTCGGCAACCGCGCAGACAAGCTGTTCAGCCCCCTCGGGTGCTCACGCGCCGCGCTGGCCGTCGCGGGCGGCCCTGGCGATGCGCTCATGGGGGGCGTGTTCTCGCCGGGCGCGATTCTCACGGCGGCAGACCTAGAGGCGCTGCTGCAGTCTCCGCCGCCAGCGCTGGCTGGCGCGCCGCGCGGCTCGACGCCGGGGCGCGGCGTGGCGCACCTGCAGCAGCGGGACCAGCAGCAGCAGCAGCAGCAGCAGCAGCAGCAGCAGCAGCAGCAGGACCTACTGACTGATCTTGACTTTGGGGACGCCGAGACGGTGCTTGAGGCGGCAGGCTGCGACGGCGCTGAGCTGGCGTTTCTGCTGGGGGGCGGCGGCAATAGCCACAGCTGGCTGTTCTCCCCGCCGAAGCTTCGAGACGGCGCCGGGAGCGGCGGCCGCGGCGGGAGCCCGGCCGCTCCACGCGCGCCGACGGCGCTGGTGCGTGGGGCGGGTGGAGGAGTTGGTGGGTTCGACGCCAGCCGGCCGTTTGCCGCACTCTTTGGAGGGACAGGCGAGGAGGTCGAGGCCGGCGCGAGGCGATGACACAGCCCAGACTTGGGCGCTTGACCACTCCCTGCTTATTTGTTTGACTGCTTCTGGACAGTGAGCCACTGCAGGGACTAGGCCGCGTGACAGTGTACGCCCCGTCCCCCTGCATAACATGCACCAACGGCTTTGGTCAGCAACTGACATGTACGCTTGGCAGGCTCCCTGAGCCCAACGGAGGCCGGACCAGGGATTGACTCTCACACATCAACACCCCCCAAAAAGCAACCTGCTGCGTCCTCGTGAGCTGCATGCCACCAAAATGGTTTTTATCAAGTACAACTCTTGGCCAGCAGGCCCGCTGCAATGACGCGGGCCGCCCTTTTGATGGAGGACGCCAAGATTCAGCCGACTCGCTCCGATCCGGTGGTGTGTGCTGTCCTGCCTACTAGCACAGTTGTGGCCCTCCAGACTATCGACCATTGCCCGCGTCCCTCGTGGGACACTTGGCAGCAGCTCTTGTAACCCTGGCAGCTCTTGGTGAGACTCTGTGTGTGTGTGAACGTCGAGGACGCTGCAGCACAAGCGACGTGTTGACTGGTCAAACGCTCACCAGGCAACATTACGGCCACTGCACCCCGCACTCATTATGTCTGTTTTTGACCATGCATCAACGGTAACAGGCTGCCTGCCATGCGCAAGAAGACGTTTGGCCGTGTGATTTGCGATCTTGGACCAGCCGACCTTGTGATCGCTCCACGCGGAAAAGAGATAAGCTTTTCTCAATGCGGCTGTCCAATCCAACTTGTGGCATTCTTACATTCTACGGTCAGCAGCCTCCAATAAACCAGGCAGCCTTGCAACTAACCTTGGAATTGGCACAGGGCCCCAAGGCCGGGCTGCGCGCTTGTGTGCTTCCTGTGGGCTGCTGCCAATATCATCCTGGGTTGGCCTACAACACAGTTTTGTCAAGTTGCTGCTCAGGCTATCAAGTGTTGTTTCTGCTGTCCCCAGGAGTGCCCTCCTCCACCACCGTCGCAACGTAGGCAGCAGCACCAGCCAGCGGCCTAGCCGCACGCGGGCAGCTGGCCCCCTGACCCTGGCCACTGCGCCAGAAAACACCGTTGCACGCATGTCGAGGTCCATCAGTGCGCGCCCAGTGTACCTGGTGGATTTCAGCGTCTACAAGCCGCCCGAGGAGCTGCGGCTCAATGCAGCCGAGGCGGAGCGCAGCGTGCACCATTCGTGGTCGGTGAGACGCGGGCGTTTGCAGCGTGTGCAGCAACTCCGGGCTGATGGGGGACGCAGTGGGCCCTTGGTTGTGTGAATAGCACGCTTTGAACCGTGCTCTCCGCCTACCACTCTTGCAAGCAGCGCGCATGCTTGCAAGAGTGGTAGGCGGAGAGCACGGTTCTCTTGCAAGCAGGTACTCTTGCACGGTACTCTTGCAAGCAGCGCGCATGCGCAGTTCTTCAGGCACCTTTGCCCGGCAGAAGGCCGTGCCTCCTTTGCATTTGCTGCCCCTCCCACCTGTCTGGACATGGCCCTTGTGACCCTGCTCCTCAAGATGCACAGCGACAAGGCCAAAGAGTTCATGCTCAAGGTCTTCAACAAGAGGTGGGACCAAGGGTCAACCCCTGACCACGGCAAAGGCACCGCGTCATACTCTAAGCTTTGCACCCCGATGCTACAGCTGCGCCAGCCTCCGCTTCCAGCAAACCCTGGCCTTGGCCTGCACTCGCTGAGCGCCCCACCTGTCTCCCGCTCGCCAAACCTCGCTCTCCTCACAGTGGCATATCGCCCACCTCCACGTACCTGCCGGCCGCAATCCATCCCTGCATCTCTGAGGTGCGAGCGCAGTGGTCACAGCGCCGGAAGTACACCCAGCGCACCTTTTCAGTGCTCTCAGCAACCCCAAAACACCTCGCAAACCCCGCGGCGCTCACCTCCCTTACCAACCCACGTTTGGCTGCCTATAACACCATTGGCGGCGGTCGCGCAGGAGCCGCGTAACGGCATACCGGAGGCGATGGCAGAGGCGCGGATGGTGATGTGTGGGGCGGTGTCAGACCTCCTGGAGAAGACGGGTGGGCGCGCTGGGGTCGGGACGCAGTGCAGGCTGGTGGGCTCGGGGCGAACCGCAGATTCACACATGAGAGGACCCGCAAGAGGGCATTTGAAGCAGCAGCGAGGCTGGCCCTGGCAAGCACCACCGCAGAGCTGCAGATGGGTTGCTGCCGGGTCCGCGGCGTCCCTGTACATTTCAATTGAGCGCCGTGGTCCAAGGTGGTTCCACTGTCGGTTCGTTGCCTGTTTTCCACTTTCTTTGTAGGCACGCATCCGTCCGAGATTGACATTGTCATCACCAACTGCAGCAGTGAGTCCTGAGTGCTGGCTGACTGCATCGGAAACGCCCGTGTTGCTGCAAGGGTGCTGCTCTATGCAGGAGTTACCGTATCGGGCTTATGCAGCTGAACAGTTTCTTCTCCCTGCCTGCGCTCCTCAACTAGTAATCGGGTTTGAGCCGACGAACCGGGGCGCATGGGCCCCCCCCTCTGACGCGCCACGCCGGCCGGGCCGCCCCTGCACTTGGTGCACGTCCTTGTAGTTTTCTGCCCCACCCCCAGCCTGGCGTCCATGCTGGTCAACCACTTCAAGTTCGGGAGGGACATCCAGAGCTACCACCTTGGCGGGATGGGCTGCGGCAATGGTCAGGAGGAGGGTGATGTGCCTATGGATCGCCCTGGGGCTGCTTTGCTTTGGGGTCTGTTTGATTGTACCAGTTCGTCAACAGATGTGACGACCAATGCTGGCTCGGCCGGTCGGACAAGTACTCATCACTCAATTGATGACTCAAACTTGCCAAGCCAACCCTTTGAGGTCCCTAGATAAAGAGGTCCCAGCATTTGCTGCGGCGCCCCCGACCTCGCAGGGGTGTGCGCTGTGGGGCTGGTGCGGGACCTGCTGCAGGCGCGGCCAAACGCCAAGGCGCTGTTCGTGCCCGCCGAAATTACCACGTGCGCAGACGGGCGGTGCCAGCTGGGCATGCTTCCCTGCGGTGTCGACCGCGACGGGCGGATGCTGCGGCGCAAGAGTGGCGCTGCTGCGCGCACACAGTGTGGGCCAGCCACTAGCGCACCGCCTCTGAGATTCTGATGTGTGGGGGGAGTCAACAACCCAGCTATATCCTTGTGCTCGCACACCCGCGTGCATGCAACATGTTTGTTTGTGCGCTTGATTGCAGGTACTGCTACTACCCTGGGACCGAAACCAAGTACCTGGTGGCAAACTGCATATTCCGCATGGGCGGCGCGGCGATCCTCTTCAGCAACCGCACCGACATGCGCGGCCGCGCCAAGTACCAGCTGCTGCACTCGGAGCGTGTGCACACGGGGGCCGACGACGCCGCGTACGCCTGCATGGGCTGGGAGCCGGACAGTCAAGGCGTAAATGGCGTGTGAGCGCCACGGGTGTCTGAGCACTGTTTTGTCTGTTGTGGAGGGCGGGCCGCTGTGAGCTGCACGTACACCTGCCGCGACGCCATTTGCACGCCACATGGCGCCAGCGTCAAGTCCCCCCGACCATGCCACAGCTCCTCCTGTTCGTCACGAGACACCCTCTTCCCTCACTTGGACGCCCCCGTGGCTCTAACCCTGCCTGCGTTCTCTGCAGATACCTGGGAAAGGACGTGGTGGTGCAGGCGGGCAAAGCGCTCACCCACTGCCTCACAGCTGTTGCGCCCAAGGTTTGCGCGCAACGCCCCGCAAGTGTATTGTGTGCGTGTTGTATGCGCGGACCCGTGTCTGGGGGGTGTCGGACACAAGCTTCACGCACGCGAGCGAGAGAGGAACCACACCGCCTTGCAGCGAGGTTCAAGCACCCTGGTTGGACAGCATTGCAGTCGTTTGTGGCCCAACACCTGCCACAACAGCTGCACTGCGGGAACACTGTGCGTGCTCCAGCTTAAAGCCCCATCACCGTACGTGCCCTCGGCCCTAAGCCCTGCGGCCCATCGATGCACATCTGCTCCCAGATCCTGACGTGGACGCAGTACAGCCAGGCAGCGCTCAACGCGCTGCAGCGCAGCTGGCTTGGCCCCAGCACCCCCAAGTACACCCCAGACTTCACCAAAACCATCGTCAGCCACTTTGCCATCCACGCGGGTGCGCTCGCCTGCTGCCACTCACCCGGCTGCATCGCCGGCCGCGCTGGCCGGCCCCCGATGGCCCCAACACTCCAACAATTGAGCCATGCAATCAATCAGTCAGGTCAAACCAAGCGTCTCTCTCTCTCCTGAGTCTCAACGGCTTCCCTCAACCGCAGGCGGCTATGCCGTGCTAAAGGGCATCCAGAAGGCCATGCGGCTGCCGGCCAGCAATATGCTGCCCTCCTTCGCCGCGCTGCGCGAGTGAGCCGCTGCTGCACGGACGCATCACACTAGAGTATTATGCGTTGCTGCATGATGCGACAGCATGTCGCCGGCCTTCAATAGGTGGTCACTGTGCACTACAAAGTCTCAGGCGTTGGCGGCTTCAGCCACTCTTAACACGGCCGCGCCAGAGTGGGTCGGGCCTACACATGTACGCACTCTCTCTCTCTCTCTCTCTCTCTCTCTCTCTCTCTCTCTCTCTCTCTCTCTCTCTCTGTCTCTCTGTCTCTCTCTCTCTCTCTCTCTGCGCAACCAACCCCAACCCCTGACCCCTGCGCGCACCCCCAGCTACGGCAACACCAGCTGCAGCACCACTTGGTACGTCATGGCCTACCAAGAGGCCTGCGGGGGGGTGGGGCGCGGCGAGGTGGTCATGCAGATCGGCATGGGTGGCGGCATGAAGGTGGGCGCCGTTCCTGACTGGGGCCAAGGATGGGCGGGGGAGGGCGCTGCTTGGGGAATGTATCCAGTGCTGCGACGGGCTGATGGTGACTCCTGCTGAGCGCTGCGCGCTCTGGGTGGCAGTGCGGCTTCGCTGGCCACAGCGCTAACCTTGTTGCCGACCTGTTGCCTGTGTGCCCCTCCAGGCGGGCGTCAACCTCTGGCGCGCGCTGCGTGTTAACCACTGTGCGCACCCCGGTGAGCCTGAAGGGAGGGTTGAGCCTTGCGTGACCCCCACTGGTCAGCACAGGAGGGCCGCGGAGGCGCACTCGCATCATGAGTTTTGAACTGCTGCAAACCATGACATCGACGAGAATGCAACAACGCAATTTGCTTTAAACCCCGCTGCTTGCAGCTTGGCGCCACCTCATGGACCAGCCCCTGACCGAGGCCGACCTGCCGCGCTCGATCGACGAGGAGCGGCAGCAGGAATCAGCGAGCGACACAGTGGGGGTGGCCGCTGCGCCGGCACGAGCAGCGGCGATGGCGGCGGCGGCGGCGGCGGCGGGCGCAACCCAGGGGGCGCAGCTGAAGGCCAGCGTGGCGGCCAGGGCCACTATTGAGGTGTACGCCGTCCAGGATGGCGTGGGGGCGTAGCACTAGCTGTCTTGCCGTGTACCTTGTATTGCTTTTCCCGCATGCGCACAGGCGGTTTCGCTGACTTTTAGCAGCCAGCGGCATGGCGGCTGCAAGCGGCGCCCGGGTGCTGTGAAACGTCACATATGAATGGCTTTAACCAGGTTGCATCACTCAATTCAGGTTATATGAAGACTTGATGGGATGCGGGATGGACACTGGTAACTTGATGGGTTCTGTCATGCGTGCGGAGGAAGCGGACAGCAGGTGTGGAAACAAAACACAGCTTTGTTTAGGAATGCAAAATTTAGACTTCGGTGTCAGGAGGGGTTCAAGTGTTTGCCAGGTCAAACTTGCCCAGATTCAGGATGCATACCCCCAGGGATGCGCTCTGGTTGCGGATTCTGCTTGTGCAGCTGCTGCGAAGCCACACCCGCTGGCGCTGATGCCCTGCCGACCCATCAGAAAGTGGCGCTGGCGCAGGCCCATTGATGTAAGTCGACCCCACAACAACAAAATCGACATCGCGCGTGTCCTTTAGGAGCGATGCCACGCGATTGTTGACTGCCACCTCTGATATGGCGTCTGATCGCGACCAGCTTTTGCGTTTGGTACTCAGAGGAGCTGATAATGCCCTACAGGACAGGACAGCTCAGCACAGGGAGGTGCGTGCTGTCGTTTCAAGCCGGGTGTGAGGGTGTAGCGAAGCGACGGAGGGTCCTATGCGGTCCTGATCACCACGAGAGGATATGATCACTCGTATATATGCATTCGCAGGTCGCGCAGAGGCAGCGAGATAACGAGCAGCAGGCAGCCCTGGTCTTCGACCTTTCTGACGCGGGTGGGCCGCGGGGCGGCCAGTCATCACTGTCAATTCGCTCTTGTGTGCCTTCGTATTGAGATTTGATTGCGTGCAAGGGGCAGGGCGACCGTCAGCGCCGGCTGGGGTGGCGGCGGACGTTCCACACCGGTCACGAATGACAACAGCTGCGCTGCTCGCCGCCCGGTCCGCATCACGCTGTGTGCGCCGCCGCAGTGAAAGTCAAGCTCCGCGAGGATGCGAACCAGCTCGCGCGCCTCAAGCAGCAGATGCTGCATGAGAACGAGGTGCGTGAGCGTGCATGCTGTTTGAGGGACGCACTGGTCGTAAAAAGGCGTCGACGTGCTGTTTGACCTGCACCTCAGGCATGCTGACTGCAGCCACAGAATCACACTTGCTATCCAATAAGAACCCTCACCGGCCTCTTCAACCCGCGCGGCGCCAGGCCTACCGAAAGGACCAATCAGTGGTGAAGCGCATCCAGGGAGCGCTGCTGGGCGCCGCCTCCTGGGGCGGCGCCTCGGCCGACGCCGACGCCGCCGGCACCAACGGCAGCGCCTCGGCCGGCCCCACCGGCTCCAGCGCGTCCGGGGGCGCCGCCGAGCGCGCGGCGGCGCTGTTCTCTGCGCTGCACAAGGGCGGGGTCCGGGACTGGGTGCTCGGGCGCGCGCCCTCAGCCGGCAGCGCCGAGGGGGCGTGGCAGCGGGCCGCCGCCGCGGCGGCCGCGGCGGCGCGGGAGGACGAGGGGGACGGGTGCAGGGAGCTGGTGCCGTGGGCGGGGTCGGCGCTGGCGCATTATGAGGGGCCCCTCTCGCGGTCCCTGACGGTGCAGCGAGCACGCACCGCGGCGGCGGCGGAGGCGGCGCAGCTGGTGGGGCGGGCGCTGGACCAAGTGCTGGAGGGCGAGCGAGAGGGAGCAGGTGCGCTAAGGGGGCTGCAACAGAGCGTTGTCATATGTGACAGCCGGCTTACGCTCAATCTGAACAACGGGGCAATGGCCCGCCCGCACACGAGCAGCTTGACTTGCGCTCTGCCCTGGGAGTGGCGACCTGGGCTGCTGCAATCCCGCTCTCGTTTCAACGCCCACGCCCGCACCCGCAGAGTCGCCGTCGCCGGCCAACTCGCCCGGGGCCGCGCGCGCGCGGCTGGCCATTGCCGCTGGCCAGCAGCAGGGCCAGGGGCAGCTGGCGGTGCAGCGCCGGCGGCCGGCGCCGCTTGAGATGTCCGTGGACAGCTTCTCCTTTGGCCAGAGGCCCGACGATCCGGAGGTGCGCACGACTTGAGGGAGTGCCACGCCCTGGTGTTAGTGTCCATCCACGCCGCAACGCGCGGCGCCTGCTTGTTGCCCCAACCCCGCCTGGTGCGGTTGCGAGGGCGGCCACACCAAAGAGGGCCCCCGACCCGGCCCGCGCCCCGCCACCACCGCAGACCGAGTCGCCGCCGTTCCCAGCGCAGCAGCACGACCTCCGCCGCAGCATCACCAGCCGCATGCTGAGCCCCTCGTCGGCGCTGGAGAGCGTCGGCGCCGGCGTGCCCCTGCTGGCCGCCGTCGGCCACGGCGTCGCCGCCGCCGTGCGCCTGGGGTCGGGCCGGCCGGGCCGCGCGCCGCAGGCCGCGGACGGCATGCACGCCTCCGAGCAGGCCGCAGGCGCGGCGCGCGGCGGCCTTGGGGGCTCCCAGGGGCCGCTGATGCAGTCGATCGGCGTGCGGCAGAGCATGTCGGTGTCGCAGCTGCTGGGGGGAGACGAGGAGTCGTTCCAGAAGCTGCTGTCCAGCGCGCTGGCCGGCGAGCGGCCGCCCAGCGGGCCTCTGCTCGAGCGGCGCGAGAGCGCGCACGCGCAGCAGCGGGAGCGCCTAGTGGAAGAGATCCCGGTCGCGGGGCCCACACGCGAGGGCGCCGCAGGCAGCGGTGCTGCCGGCGGCGCGAGGGCGCCAACTCCGCCCCAGCAGCAGCAGCCGCCGCCGCAGCAGCAGCAGCCGTCGCCGCCCGCATCACGCCGCCGCACGCCCGCGTCGTCCCTGTCGCCGTCGCGCCGCACGTCGGCGGGCATGTCGGCCGGCGGCGCGTTCCACGGGTCGCTGCCTCAAGGGGAGGCGATCCTCGCGTGGGGCAGCGGCATGGGCAGCATGCGCAGCTCCGCGGCCGGCGCCGCCGCGCCGCCGCGCGTGCCCCACAGCATGCAGCCCGTGGCCGAGTCCCCAGAGCGCGCCTCGCC